GTTGACCAAAAAGTCAACTAGTTGACTAAAAGTTAACTTTATGAGAAAAATACTAGAATTCATTTCCTAAGCACATAGCATTCCGATTTTACTGATATACATAGCCGTTTATGTGTATCCGGTAAAAAAAATCATATATGCGTATCAATCATACACATCACTCTATAAATTATGTTTCATAGGATTTAAGTACGCGCTTGGTGTGACTCTAGGGCCCAATTCAAAAACTCGGTAGTGGATCATATCCACAAGTACAACAGAGGTGCTAGTTGCACATGAAGACTATCCGGGTATGAGTTGTGATAAAGGTCTGTAAGATGCTTATCCAATTTTATCAGGACCACTCAGTGAAAATGCCGTACAGTCCGATCTCTTCGTCAAACTATTGAGCCTAGGGTATGAAAACTGTCAAACCCTAATTGCTCAATTAGTGTTTGTTGATATAAACTCATAACTTATAAGATCAAACTGACACTCAGTTTATCTTATTTACCTCGGCTAAGGATTTCTAGATTATAGTTATATCTAACAATCTTATGACATTAACCCCCTATACCGGGAGAGACGAATCCCATATTGGCATCTCAATATCTACTTATGTCTCGGGATGTACCCAACAAGAACCGTTATGCACAACTCGATGAGAACTGTGGTTAGATAAAAGTCTAAGTACACCTACACTGACATGTAAGATATTGCACTCATGCCTCAGGTCAAGAGACTACTATGTACTATATCACTTGAGAACTTCTATTTGACAGTTAAGTATAATTACCAACTAGATGTTCTCAGTGAGTCGTTCAGTCAACTCATTCATTAATGAGTCACCTGTATACTATATATTGATGTCTCATATCAATGATCCAAGAGATGGATCATCATCCTACCAAAGGAGAAATATAGTATACACTAGTCTTCCCAAAGTGATGATGTCTCATTTCAACACTTCATTGACTAGGAACATTTTAGAATATACGTTAATGACAAATCAGATCTCTTCATTACGATCATATCCGAAATGTCTGATAGTCTGGTATTATTCTAAGGACTTTATCTGTATGAAAATACCAGATAAATCTGACCAAAATAGCATACTATTATTTTAAACAAGAATGTTATATTCATATAGGTCCTGTTACAATATATAATTATTACCTGCAGGGCACCTATATCTAACAAACTCTCACTTGCACTAAGGTCAATCATTGTAGTATACACTAGTCTTCCCAAAGTGAAGATGTCTCATTTCAACACTTCATTGACTAGGAACATTTTAGAATATACGTTAATGACAAATCAGATCTCTTCATTACGATCATATCCGAAATGTCTGATAGTCTGGTATTATTCTAAGGACTTTATCTGTATGAAAATACCGGATAAATCTGACCAAAATAGCATACTATTATTTTAAACAAGAATGTTATATTCATATAGGTCCTGTTACAATATATAATTATTACCTGCAGGGCACCTATATCTAACAAACTCTCACTTGCACTAAGGCCAATCATTGTAGTATCTAATACCCAATAGCTCAACAAGTTTTTCAAATTGTGTACGAGCAATTGACTTTGTGAATGGATCTGCTATATTATCTTTTGTGTCTACTCTTTCAATCTTGATCTTTTGGCGATCAACTATCTCCCTGATCAAGTGATACTTTCTCAAAATGTGTCTGGACTTATGGTGAGATCGGGGTTCTTTTGTCAGAGCTATTGCAGCATTATTATCACAGTATAAAGGTACTGGATCTTTAATGGTAGGAACAACTTTCAGCTCTGAAAGGAACTTCCTCATCCAGACAGCTTCTTTGGCTGCATCATTTACCGTAATGTATTCGGCTTTCATAGCAGAGTCTGCTACTGTGTCATGTTTGGAACTTTTCCAACTAACAGCCCCTCTATTGAGGGTAAAAACATATCCTGAAACAGATTTACTATCATCGATATCGCTCTGAAAGCTTGAGTCAGAAAAAGCCTCTATTTGGAGGTCACTTTTACCGTATATCAAAAATAACTCTTTAGTCCTTTTCAGGTACTTAAGTATATTTTTGACTGCTTTCTAGTGCTCTTCTCCATGATTAGATTAGTATCTACTTATCATACTGAGTGAATAAGCGATATCCGGTCTAGTACATAACATGACATACATGATTGATCCTACTACCGAGGCATAAGGAATTAGACTCATGCGTTTCCTCTCTTCATCAGGCTGGGGAGACATCTTTTTAGAGGGAGATTCCAGGAGATGCAGGTACGAAACATTTCTTGGAATTTTTCATGCTAAACCGTTTTAGCACTTTGCCAATGTATCTAGATTGAGATAATCCTAATATCCTTTTAGATCTATCTCTATAAATCTGAATACCCAGTATACAAGATGCTTCACCCAAATCTTTCATGAAAAATCTTTTTGATAGCCAAATTTTTATCGTTTGTAATAACGGTATGTCATTACCGATTAAGAGTATATCGTCTACATACAAAATAAGAAACGATATTATACTCCCAATTATCCTTTTATACACACATGGTTCATCTGGATTTTTGATGAAACCAAACTCTTTGATAGCATCATCAAAACAGATGTTCCATCTCCGTGATGCTTGCTTCAGTCCATAAATGGATTTAAGCAACCTACATGCTTTTTCACTGCTCCCACTGACTACAAATCCCTTTGGTTGAGACATATATAAGTACTCTTCTAAATCACCATTTAGAAATGCAGTTTTGACAACCATTTGCCAAATCTCGTAGTCTTAGTGAGCAGCTATAGTAAGTAGAATCCGAATAGACTTTAGCATAGCCACTGGAGAAAAGGTTTCATCGTAGTCCAAACCAGGTCTTTGACGAAAACTTTTAGCTATCAGTCTAGCTTTAAAAGTCTCTACTTTCCCCATCTACACCCATCTTTTTCTTAAACAACCATTTACAACCTATGGGTATCACCCCTTTAGGAGCATTGTCTAAGATCCATACTTTATTGGTGTACATAGAGTCTATTTCGGATTTTATTGCATCATGCCAAGCAACAGAGTCCCTACTCTGAGAGGCTTGCTGATAACTCAATGGTTCGTCATCATCTATAACGTGATCTAACATGCTACCTTCAATGAGAAAATCATATTGTCTCTTAGGTACATGAGATCGCCTTGGATATCTGCGGACTGGTTGAGGAATGTTAAAATTGCCCTAACTTATGACAAAGTAGCATATGTCCTCACAAACGCCGAAACCCGTTCTAGGCCCAGAACCCACTGTAGCGGATAATGAAATCCGTATAAAATAGGATAGAGATTGTTCACTTGCTCAATGTCTCACAATTGCCTCTATGGATTTGGTCCATCAGAGGCAACATGAGAATATGAATGTCAGATCCATATTTCGTAATACAGAAGAACTGTATGGCGAGCAACCGCGACAAATGAAGTACGTGGCGTCTATAGAGTAAAGCTCCTATAAACTTAAGTGGATAGAAACTCTTGTCCACCAAAATTAATGCACACATTTATATATATAGAGTAAAGCTCCTATAAACTTAAGTGGATAGAAACTCTTGTCCACCAAAATTAATGCACACATTTCAAAGATACCATTAATGTCGCACACAAATCTCAAAGCAAATCTAATAGATAAAAAACTTGGTGGATAGGTATTTCTATCAACTTAAGTTTACATACATACATACATGCATATAGGGAAAAAGGGTGCTAGTGTGTCACTCTAGCCCCTTAGATGGAGTGATGCTGAGGTGGCGTTCACCACACTATCTAGTTCAAAGACGATGGTTGCTAGTGTTTTTCTTTTACAGAAACCCCCATAAAAATTCCATCACCAAAAGCCAATTCATCTTCATTGCAAATCGCAATCCCAATTTCCAAAACCCGAACACATGCCCCCATCACCGCTTATTCCCCTTGTCGGCGAAATAGAACTCTGAATGGCCATCAGCTTCCTTGTCCTCGATCCTACATGACCGTGACATTCTCGTCGATGTCTTCATGTTTGTACTTGATTTTTTTAGAGAGAAACATTTGGAGTGGATTTAACAATATAAAAACACAACTTAAAAGCCGAATCCCAGTTCTTGTTCATAGCAAATTTTTTGAAACCAATGACAGTTGGATGTTGAAGGATGATTTAATCATTATGTGGATATGAGGAAGGAGTTTTTCCTTGTATGGATGGGTTAGAAGTAGAAGAATAATGGATTTTGCCTTCCATGGACATGAGGAAGAAAAGGGTGATTGTGTTTTTAGTTTTTTATTTTATTTTATTTTTTGGATAAATTGTTTTGAATTAAAAATGTTTCAGATTGAAACAGAGAAATGTGGAATTCCCTTGCAAGCAGAAGAAAACAAAATAATGTCTTTCTATAATTTTTATTGCTGGATTGAGGGAGAGCAGGAAGATACAAGCTGCTGATGGTGGTGGTGGTTTTCTTCTTTTGGAGGATGAAGATGTTTCTTTGGCTTGTTGAAATGTTGGTTCTCAAATTTTGATATCTCATCTCCCAAATGCTTTTAAATTGAAACACTATCAGGTCCTACAATCCTGTGTTTGCCAGTATTAGGACTGGGAGGCAGTTAATAATATTTCCCTTCCAACTCCAAGCCTGGCTAAAATGAGTAATAAAAAGTTCGGATCCATTTGTCTTAAAATAACTATCCTTAAAATTGAGCATAAACTCTATCCAACGACGGGCACAGTTGTAATAAAGAAGGTTACACAATGTGAAAAGTGCTTGGTATTTTACCTTTTACCTCATTTACCTGCAGTTCAGAAAAAAAAATCTGATTTGAACCATATCTTCTTTTGTCACTAACTACATCTTGTATCTTTATGATTAAAAACTTTAGGACATGCATACTTTTAGGGTGTTATGACTACTGGTAAATTTTACATATCTGTTTTTTATACAATAAACTTCCATTATTTATTTTATATTATTTTATTTTATTGTGATTGTGTCGTTGTGTTTGCCCATGTTGAAATCAGGTTGCTGAAGAGGTTGGATTTCCCTGAAATGAAGTTTAGCTTGTATTTTATGGGTTATGAGGTAAATTTCTGAAAATTGTGATACTTCCTTCCATAGTAGGTTTAATTATCTTGAGGTATTTGATGGTATCTCAGAATTCTGCAGTAAAAATATGCTTAATTTTGTATAGAATCCTGCAACTGCTCCCGCTGATCCAGTACAAAGAACAGTTTGGACCTTTGGTCAGAAGGCTACACTTGAGCTAACACAGTAAGAAAGATATTTGTTTGTTATATCTTGATAGTTAAACTCCACGTCTGTTTTTTATTACCTCGGTGTTGAGACTGTGATTCCTTTTTCTCTTCTTGACTCCACTTTTATTGTGTTTTCAGCAATTGGGGCACAGAAACTGATCCTGAATTCAAAGGATACCATAATGGAAATTCAGAGCCTCGTGGCTTTGGTATGTTTCTTAAGTGTTGATAAGATGGAAATTTTCATAGCTTCCTTCTAACTTCTACAATTTCTAAAGCATGATTTAGATGTGCCCTATAATTATAGTTAACTATGATAAATTGATAATAGATTCTCCAAGTCTGCTACATACCCCGTTACCCATATCTTGAGCTGCTTATAACTTTGGCTCTTTTTTTTCCCCAGGTCATATTGGCATTACAGTTGATGATACTTACAGGGCATGTGAGCGTTTTGAACAGTTAGGAGTTGAATTTGTGAAGAAGCCTGATGATGGTAACTCTTATTTGAATAGTATTTGGGAGCTCTACGTTTTGACCCTCTGTTTCGATATTAAGTTTATATTGTCTTTTGATGCATTATTTTTGGAAAGGCTATCAATTTGCGTAAATTTCAAATTCACTTGAAGCCAAATTAGTGCAAAAGAATTATTGTGGTGTTATTTTATAGTTGCTTCAAGCCTTCAAGTATGATACTGACTATAGTAATTTACATCTGATGCACCTAAAAGACAGGGTTTAATTAACATGAACTTCTTTTATTTCCATATGGCCTAATGGCTTGCATAGTTGCTGACAGGTGTAAGACTGATTATTGTTCTTTTTAAAGGTCTGTTGAGACTTGAGAGTGATATTGTATAAGTTAACCTTGTGTTTCATTTACAGGAAAAATGAAAGGTATTGCATTCATTAAAGACCCAGACGGCTACTGGATCGAAATCTTTGACCTGAAAAGAATTGGGGAGCTGACTACTGTGGGTGCTTAAGAGTGATCTTTCGAACTCTTGGTAATCTTTATTGTTACTCCCCTCTTAGCAATCATACATACAAATTTGTCTTCTGGCTAAGGGTTAATTGCACATAGACCCCCTATAGTATCATTGTTTTAAACTTAACCCCTGTAGTTTCATTGTTGCAGCTAGAACCCCTGTAGTATCGTCGTTTTGTATTCTTTATTTTTAAGTCCTGTAGTATCGTTGTTTTGTGGTATTGTTGTTTTGTAATTCACTAACCTAGTTCCCCTATAGTTTCATTGTTGCAGATAGGCCCCTTAGTTAATCTTTTTTGACTCTTTTTACCCTTGGTGAAATTTTGGCCGATATTGCCCCTAGTTGAATTAATGGATCTATCTCGGGGTAAAAGAGGAAAAAGAATTAACACAAGGGGACCTATGTGCCACAATGAGACTACGGGGATAGAAGTTCAAAGCAACGATATTGCAAGGGGTCTATGTGCAATTAACCCTTTTGTTAATGGGTTTGAGTGACGTACAGAATATATCATTCTGGAAACATTATTTATTGTGAATGTAAAATATATCTTGGTGTTTATACATCATTCTGGAACACATAATATATCTTGATGTTTATACGTGATGTGATCGGATGCAGGGGCCTGAGCCTGAGGTCTGTTGCAAGAGAAGCCACCTTGTTCGGTATGGATTCTTAAAGATTTGCCAGTGGGAGTTTGTTATTCTCATTTACATTGTGATTCAGCTTTATTCAGGAAAGAAAAAAAAAAGAAAAAACATGAAATGTCGCTATGTATGGATTCGTGAGTGTGCCTGTACCTTAATATCTAGTTGTGATATAATCCTGTTGAAAAGTTGTTGAATAATAGTAGTCTGGCTCTCATGGTTGAGTGAGTTTTCTGTTGTCCATTAATTAAAAAAACCTAATCCCTCTTTAGATACAGTTCCAAATCCCACCCCAACCCCGCAATCAAACCCAAGGTCAGCCCGCACCACCTCTTTCTATCTTCATTGATGCTGGGGTGCCTGGGTCAGTCCCTCCTCCTCATCAGTCAGGCAGTGACTCGTTCTACCCCCTTCAGCCACATCCATCTGCGGCGATCTCTAAACGGCCTCTAGCTCCGCCCCTTGAGCAAAAGTCATATGCCCAAGTGCCTCGAGGCCCAGGCTTCGTCGGAGCTCATGCAAACGATGTAGAGTCCTTTGCTCGGATCCCTTGCACAGGAGCTAAAATCACCTGCGGATCTCAAGAGGGAGTTCCCTCCTCTTTTATTAACTCTGAGCTCCCTAAAATAGAGATCTATGCTAATGCTTTGGTGATGAAGTTGCATGGTGAGAAACCCTCCCTCGAATCTAGCCACAAGGAAATTCTCTTTTGGGGGGCATCGAACACCAATTCTCCATTGGCACTAACATCTAGAGTGTTTTTGCCGCGCTTTCAGGACAACAAAGACCTATTGAAACGCCATCATCCGATACTCAATTAACTTCCTACAAAGTGTTCAATGGCACACTCACATGAAGGAAGATTCATGTTTGGCCCCAATTTGGTTTTCATTGCCGAGACTTCCATTACAGTGCTTCATTCCTGAGTTTCTGGAATCTGTAGCCAACAAGATTGGCCGTTTTCTGTGCTTCGACAAAGCTACGGGGACTCTCGCCCGCACTAGTGCTGCCAGAATGTGTAAAATTTTGAATCTAGGCCCAATCGGTCTTTGAAGAAGAACGTTCTCTAGTTCTCCATGAACGCCCACCACCTGTTCAACAAAAAGCCTCGATGAAGACTAGCGTCTCTCAGCGCGAGAATTCTCAACGCGGTGCATCCCCCCTTGTATTAGAGGAGTTAGCCAGGGCCCCTCCCCCCTCAATCAGTAGCCCACCCCCATGGCCAAGCCACGGTTGATCATCCTACAGTCGGACAAACCCCAGAGGCTCCTCCCCTCATTTTCTCCTCTATACCTTGTCTATCCTCCTTAGCCGTCCCAGCTAACCTCCCCTTGGTCCCTCCAACCACTCCACATAAACCATTAGCACATCCAGCTGCAAGTCGCAAAGGGAAACAGAAATGCAAATTAGTTGTGTTTGGTGCTCTGCCTCATCATCAGCATGTCCTTAAATTAGGGGAGCAAACCAACTTGGCAGACAACATAGTATTTTGGGAAGCGGTGAACATGCAAGTTCCAATCATTGAGCAAGCAAAGATCCTATGAGTTCTAATCTGAGAGTAACTCCTGTGGTTCCTCAGAATGAATCGGAAGGGCCAGCCCCCTCCATTGATCCTAACAACTCACATCTCAATATCCCTCCAATGACATATCTGAATCTTGATCCTCACCGGCAGTTGATTCCCCTCCTAACTCTCCTTGTGCGACAATTCAAGATCCACAAGACCCAGCTGATGACTCCAGACCAGAATTGATTAGCACTTATGACTCTCAAGGAGATGATATTAATGTCATGGAAGAGTTGGCCTTCCCTCAGTTCAAAGAGGAATAAAAGGCATCTAGATCATCCTCTCAAAGTTCGATTCAGGGTCAGAAAAGACCCTAACCCCACCTCTTTATGAATAACAAGAACGTGATTTTTTGGAATGTCAGGGGAATAGCCAACCCTGGCACTTTTGACTACTGTAGGCAACTCATTGATGAACATAAGCCACTTTTGTTTACAACTATTGATCCTATAGTCTCATCTTCCTACATCAGAAAGTTTCCTTTTATTTGTGAATCATCCAACTGGTTATCCCATGATGATATAGGAGGTAAAATTTGAATTCTTTGGCGTCCAGGTGTATGGGAAACACACTACCCAAAGAAGAAGAGAACTCTGGGATCACCTTTGGTTCATCCATTCCCTCAATAGGGGCCCATCGATTGGGGTGGTGATTTTAATGCCATCACTTCTATTCATGAAAAGATTGGAGGAGCCTCTCCTCAACCCCTAGCTATGGAGAAATTCAGTTGTTACATCAATGATTGTCAGATGATTCCCATCATCACCACCGGCAACAAGTTCACATGGTGCAATAATATAGAGGGTAATAGGCGCATATGGCAAATTCTTAACAAAGATATGCAATCATCAGACTTATTATTGATGGAAGGTCTTTCAGCTATCAATCTTCATCGATCTTTCTCCGATCAGTAGCTTATCATTTTGTCTTGGTACACAGATGCATATTTTGGTCCTAGACTTTGGTGCTTCCAACGGATGTGGTGTCATCACAAGTTGTTCAGAGGACTCGTTGATGATCTTTGGTGACAACCCATATCTTCCTCTCCTCTGCCTGATATCAGCCTTAAACTCAATAAGCTCAAGCTATCCCTGAAATAATGGAATCACTCCACTTTTGGTAATATCTTTTCTCAGAGGAATACTTCGGAATCTGAAATCTCCTTGCTTGAATTTTTCATGTAGGGTGGCTGGATTTCGTCCATTTATTCTGGACTCCTTGAGGTGCAAGTCAAGATTGCAAGAAATTATCATTCATGAGAAAGGAAGCAAAAATCACACATCAAATGTCTCAAAGAAGGAGACTCTAACTACAAATCCATGGCATCATGTGGAGCAAAGCTATCCAATCAAAAGTAGCATCTCTGAAAGGTCCCAATGATGAAATTCTCTAGGGCCTAGCCGTTATACATGAAGCTGCAATCTCTTTCTTTTCCAAATTATTCACCTCTGAACATCACTCTCTGTTGGAGGAGCTTCTGAATTTCATCCCATCCAATATCTGTAGAGAGTAATGCCATGTTACTTAGTCCCTTCATTTTTGGAAGAACATCATTAAGAATATGGATTATATCTTAAAGAGTACTAGGATCAAATTGGGAATGGAAAAAAGACTTTTTCTGGTAGATAATTGGATTGGATATGAAACATTGGCTTCTAGATATCCACATAATTTTGCTTTCATTGAGAAGCCAGAAGCTAATATTTATTCCTTAAGAAAATGGACTACCAATAGATGGAAGTGGGATATTTCTTTTATAAGGCAATTACAAGAAAATTTGGTTATGCAATATTTTAAGTAATTGCATGATATTAATAGTATTTCTTTGTGTGATAGAGAAGGTTCTAGGACATGGATATAGGATAGCAAAGATGTTTCCTCTGTGAAAGCTATATACAATTTCCTTATTGATGGGGGTTGAGATGGGAAATTGATGCGAAACGGGACAGAGGGTCTATCAGAGTCAGCGATCTAAATCGAATAACGCACTGTTTCGCCAAAATTCATGATCTTCGGCAAAAAAATGATGCGAAACAGGGCAGGGGGTCTATCAGGGTCAGCGATCTAAATCGAATAACACACCATTTCGCCAAAATTCATGATCTTCGGCAGGAAATTAAATTCAAACAGTTAATGTGACAGATGGATTTAACGAGATTTGCATCAATAATCATAAAAAATTTTAATCTCAAACAATATAATCGCAATATTCATTATCATTGTACCAGTTCCACAATCAATATCAATATTTCAACAGTCATATATTCAGTTACCCTCAACTCATAAATACTAATCTAAGCAGCGAATATATGATAAAGTTTAGAGACAAGATACTCATGCAATTAACTAGCCAAATGAGATAAACAGAAAAATAAAGAAAGCGAAACCTTCGTCGGTCTGAACAGACTCGACGTGAGAGACGACGTCGAATTGGCTGACGACGTGGCGACAAACTGAGTGATGACGACAGCGACGAATTTGAACAACGACGGTGTCGGCAACTCTGAGCAGCGACTAGAGTGATGGTGTCGGCAAGGACGACGGGATGATAGCGATGTGATGATCCGTGGTAAGCGGCTGTGGCAGTGGTAGTGTTGCTCTGGTGGGGAATTTTGCCAAACAGTTGGTGTACATGAAGGCGGTAGTTGCTAGGAAGGGAGGCTCGGTGGCGATGAGAGTATGACTGCTTGGGAGGAGATGATGGTACTGGTGGTGCGGCTGTTTGGGAGGAGATGATGATGTTGGTGGTCAGAGGTGGAGATCAGGGGCGAGCTGGGTGTGAGACTGGTGGTCGGGTTTGATGAAGAGGGGAAACAAGAGGCGAGCAGAGGAAGGGGAACGATGACTGGTGGCGTGACTGTAGGGAGGCAGGACTTGAGAGTGTGGCAGCGCTGGTGTAAGGGCAGCGACTTGCGAGCTTGGTGTGGTGTTAGATGTTAGCGGATGTAGGGGGAGAAGAACAGGGAGGTGGAGTTGACGGCGGTGGCTGGAGGAAGAGATGGAGTTGGCAACTATTTTGGGAAGCAACGGAGGTCAGAGGGGGTGAAGGGAGGCCTACGAGAGAGATGAGTGAGACACGGGGTTTGCTGGTTGTATGCGAGTGAAGGGAGAGATCTGATGGCAGCTTTGGATGTGGATCTGGTGGTTTGTAAGGAAGAGAAGGGTTTGACTGATTGTTGATGTGGAGAAGATGAGAGAATTTTTGGCGGCTGGAGGAAGAAGACACCGGGAACGGCCTAGGGTTTTACACCTGAGGCCTAGAGTTTCACACCCAATGTTACACACTAGATTTTAGCTAATGCAATTTTTTATTCAATAATTCATTATTCCATTCGATTACATCAGTCCTTTCAATAGAAAAAAAAATAAGAAAATTTTAAAATCTCACAAAATAAAAATCCCTCAAATCACTCAAGCAAATTCCCTAAAATCACTCAAATGCCAAAACTAAACCAAAATTCAAAATTCAAATTTTAAATTTCAAATTTTAAATTTTAAAAATTAAAAACAGAAGAAAGTCAACTAAGCTAAAAATGGAAGATTGTCCATTCTTGTCCTCATCATTCTCCCTGGGTGGGAGAAAACGCGACTCCATTAAGTTAGGTGCAAAAACTTGTTATCTTCAATATACTTTATCTGCACTTAATCTGTCGTCAGGTAC